AAAATATGACCGCCCACTTCTTTTTCCGTGCTTGTGTGCCAGTGATAGTTTTCTCATCAAGTTCCCTGCGGGAATTTGTGAACATTATGTGATACTCGTGTTCTAAATATGCCCATTTTCTCACTTTTGATCGGTTGCTTGCCGACTCCTTATTTTACTTTAATTTGTTAACTTATGTTACATCATCCTACATTTCTCATCGCCATCTGTTCCCTCTCCTTTCCCCTGCATTCATTCTTATCAAAATCGCAATAACCCAAGCCCGTGAAACTTTTCAACAGCCAGTGAGAAAACCTCTCATCAGGCAAACACCACCACCACCACCACCCCCCCCCCCCACCACCACCACGTAAATCCTGCTGCAGTTTTCGCTCATCTGCCGAGCGTAAAACTCAAGCGTGCTCAATCTTTCCATTGCTGACATTTTTACTTGCTCCCTGAACGGCTCCCATCGTTCCAATGAACATGTCTCATTCTGCTCTGCCATTTTTTTCAACAGGTCATCTACTGTAGTTACAAATGTTTCGTTCTTAAGCAGGCTGGTGTTCACTTTCCACAAACGATAATTAAACTCTGCCTTGGGATTTTGGTTTTCTTCAATTGGGACCTTTACAAGGCAGTGCTCACTAAAAACACTGGTTTTACGCAAAAAGATATGATGTGATGTACCATGGCAGCAGAAATATAAAGATGATCAAGGCGCGCGTGCGAAGATTCTTGGAAGTGAGTAAACAGATTTTTTTTTCGTTAGAAATGTAAAAGAACATCTTCCGTATTGTTCTCTGCCATACTGTCACACAGCAGATTTGCACTAACGTCTCAATTACGCGTTACTGGAAATCTATCACCTGCATCGCATACACGGTTATAGTCACCTAGAAATATGGTGGTCCGATATTATTTGATGTAATGGGACACTTTGTGGAAGAATAGCGTTCGCTCAGTGGCTCTACAAGGGGCCTAAACAAAAATTAGTCGCCACTGGACATCAAACGAATTAAAGACAAACATTATAAAACGCTCGTGATCATCGGCGGTTACACTCACGTCAGAAAGAAGAACCCATTTTTTATGGAACAAAAAACAGCCTCCCGCCGTGCCAACTGCAAGTATAAGGAAACAATTGTCGGAAACTGTTATCTAGGTGAACGCAACCACTTACTGCCAGGTTTGCTCTTGTCGACCATCCGGCGGAGTTCGGGGCGTGCGTTTCTTTCTTCCTTGCGGCTTGCTCCAGTCAGACCCGTGGAAGTCGGTGTCTGCCTCCGCGACACAATCTAGCGGTCGCTTGAAGGGCTCAGAACTGTCGTCCATTTCCGAGTTAACTTCTGAGGCATTGTCTGAAGAGCGGTCGTTCCCCTTGACTGTCTTCTTTATCTGGCCTATTGAGGAGCCTGGAGCGGCACTGTCGATGTTTGAGCCATTTCTACCGCAGGCAATTGACTTGTCAGCTTCCATAATTGATTCTGTGGTGTCTTCGTCTTATGATGGGCCTCGTTTGTCAGCGGCTGAAGGCGTTTTGGTATGGGTGGAGGCTGTGTGCCCAGCACCGTCTTCGATTTTCGAATCTTCTTCATCGATGAATTCCGAGCTGTCTTCCTCGGGGGCGGGCCGCATTACAGTAGCGTACTTCCGGATGCAATCCTCTTGGTCTTGACCAAAACGATATCACTTATCACAGCGAGAGATGCGACATTCTCTGTAAATGGGCCTGTTCTCTGACATCGAATACAGAGCGCGGCGCTCTTCCGGGACAAGAAAGGGAACGTTTCTCCTAAACAGACGCAGCTGGGCGGGAGGTTTCCCTTGGTGACGCCTTCCTTGAGGTTTATTCTCACCTGCCTTGTCGTTACGTTTCTCACGCCAACCCCTCCTCACGATAGATAGGATACACAATATTCAATAGGTGAATATTTCGGTAGATTATTGAGCTATGTTTATATTTAATTATTAGGACTTTTGTACCGAATTTTACTTTCACCAAATGTCATTCTCAACAGCTCGTGTTTTCATTCTTACCCTTCAACATTTACTTTTTATCAAAAATGTTGAAACTCGGTGACGTCAGTGCGGGGATACGAAACACTTCCCTCCCTGTGCTAAACCCCTGACTTCATCATCCACAAGGTCATGTTTATGCGCTTTACTTCGGATAGGCTGTACTGTGTTATTCGAGCAGTTTCACGCCTGTTCCGGTAGTAGAAAAGGGCAAGAGCAGAAAAATAGAAAATATACAGAAGCCGGAAGTGATTCAACAGTAGCCTACAGTATTGGGGCAATGAACAGGAGGCGCCTCGATGGGCTACTAGTCAGCGCGGCTGGTGGCCAAAATGGACAACTTTGGGAAGGCTTAAACACCGGATGACTGCACACGAGCACTGCGCAAAAAGTTCGGCAGGACACTTGGGGATTTGAGTTCGAGATTGGGTCCAATGATTATGGCCACATGGCCGACTGAGAGTTGCGACAAGCTTGCAACGGCACCGCCTGTTGAACCAAACTTTATTGCCCGTTGCGTATAAAATACCCGAGCAAGATTGTCGCCCCTCAAACAAATATTGTATGCGTGGCTTAAATCAAACTGAACACCTCATGAGTACGCTTGAACGATACGGTCGCTTGAGTCTTGCTTCTTTAGAATAATTTATTCCCGCTTCAACTTTTATAGGTTGGTGCACTTGCGTTTACGACTCTAAAAATGAAATATTTTTTTCCAACTCTCTACGTTAAAAAATCACCGAACTTCTTCCGCGGCCTTCCTTCTTCATAAAAAAAAAACACTAAAAATTATTTGAGGAGTCTTACGTTTGCTCGGTCGTTCTTCTAATATCTAAGGGGAATTTTTGTTCAGGAGGTTGAAGTTGTTTTAACTTCACTGATTATATTTCTTTTTTTACCGCGATCTCCAGACGTTTTATTATTTTGCCTATCTTTCTCTCTCTCTCTCTCTCTCTCTCTGGAGTTTGGCCCCAAGGCAGAACTTTATTTTTTATCAAAGCAAAATACCTCTTTATTTATATATATTTTTTACGGAACTATGCGTACGTGCTCTCTAATTCCAAAACCATTAGACCGCGCCTAAGACTCGCTACAGAGAATAGAATATTATAGTTATTTTTTGTTTCTCTCGCTCGCTACTTAAAAAAATAGTTTCGAAGGTTTCCGATTGCTCTCTTTTATCTAGTGCGCGACAGTAACAAAGATTCATAAATATAAAGCGCTATCCTTTCTTTCTTTCTTTTTTTTCTTGCGCAAGATGAATATATACCTTTTCTTTACTATTATACGTGTACACCATTAACAATATTTTATTTCTTTTTGACTCAAATGGAGCGAAATTCCTTTTGAACATCTAGTTTTCGAAAGGAATGGCCATTGTTAGAAACAAATAAATGAAAAAAGGCAACTCGATGCTCGTAAGGTTATGTTCCGCAGCGAAGCAAAATGTAGTACTCGTTAAACTCTCCAAAAAACGTGTATTTTTGTTGTTGTTGTTTTTTACACATTGCGCTGCTTTTTGTTTCGATGAAGTTTTCCTATTCATACGGATGGGAGCAGGTTCTATTCTCAGAACAAATAAAACTGAAACGTGCAAGTCGTCCATAACCATCGGTCGATGAATACGAGTTCTTGAAACTAAGCGCTCATTTCACAAAATCGACAATAGACCTATCCCACAAAAATCAACACTCCCTTCGATGCTGAATGCGTCGAGACACATTAGACAGTGGACGGACGGTGCCACGGTAGAAGAAAAAGGGGACTGAACAAGGTCAGCTAGGTGGCGAAATATTGATCGGGCTTTGCGCATTTCTCAGCAGGGGCACTGTCGGTTTAGGAGCTTTCGTACAAGGCCACGCACGTCTTTCAAGCTTGGGCGCGAATGAGGACGGTTCCTCGAGTGGCTCTGATTGGCCTCTAGCCACACTCTTCCATGGTCCGTCAGACTCCTTTGGAAAATCTTTGGCGGTCCATCAGACGCCGTCAAGTAAGCTTGTTGGATCATCAAAGAAGTCTGGCGGGCCATCAGGAAAGTATGATGGGCCATCAAGAATATGTCATGTGCCGTCAAGGTGTCATGGGCCAACAAAGAGATCTGATTGGCCATCAAGAAAGTTTGATGGACCATCACAAACTTCTCATTGTTTTTTTCTTAGTGGATGACGCCGGGTTTATTGATACTGTATCGTGAAATTCGCACAGGCCCCCATCGGTACCATTCTCTTCCGTTGAAAAATGGAAAGCGCCATTGAGACATCTTTCTCTTCCCACGTCAATATTGCGTCGTAATTTTTTTTTTCTTTTTTTTTTGTATCTGGTCGTCAATCTTGATGAAAGGGCACCGATGGCTGATCCTTCTCTTCCGTTACGTCTCAGAAATGGTGCACTGCTACAGAATGACGCAGTGACGCCTTTTCTCTTTGGGCGTTCGGGGCAAGAACCTCCCCAGCTCTGCTCTAACAAGGATGTACAGTCAACTCAACCCATTTTATCTGAGAAACACACTTATACCCTAGTTACACCGGCACCCCTAACAGCAATTTAGTGCAACTGAAGTCAGGCTTAACTGCGGTTAGGGGTGCCGCACGGGCGTCCTTATGTTTAAATGTGCTTAAGTATGGTTTGCAGTTACTGACCTTAGTCACACAAGTATTATGCAGCTTCACGTCTGACTACAGTGGCCATGAATGCCTACTGCGGCCCCAAGCAGATACCTCCACCTGCTCTCACAGCGTCTTACCATGACACTAACCTGAGTTAACTGTTATAGAGTGCTCTTTCCAAAATAAAGGCACACGTTTATTCGTTATCGCGAACATGTTCACTACGCCAAACAGACGCTGCAGAAACGTCAATCTGTCAGAGAAGGTAAAACTATTGCCGCTAGATTGACAGTAATACGTAGAATCCGGATTTGCTGCCTTTTTTCACTCTTATAATGTTTCTTTTTTTCTTTTGTTTTTACCCATAAATATTTACCGTTTCCTCGTGCGTCGCAGGGATCCGTGACGGGCCTCAGTGGAAGAGTCCAGTTCGACAGCTTCGGAGCCCGAACCAACATCTCCTTCAATCTCGTGGAACTCAAGGACGTGGGACTGAGTCGAGTAAGTAGAACGAGCGCCCGTGGCGCTTCCTTCTTCGTTTCCGAACAATGAATCAAACGAGTTTTCTTCAAACCAGGATTGTATTTTTAACGGAACCCTCTAATCCCAGATATTTGTCCTTCCGTTCGTTCGTCGCTGCAGTTCCCCACTCAGTGTAGCGGCACAATTGACGCCACGTGACGTCATGAAACGTGAAACCACCGCTTGACAGCATGACGTCACGCGATGTGGTCACGTGACGCGGCGTCACGGTGTCAGTCATTGTGTCACCTGATAACCATGGCGTCACGTCACTGATATGTCATGAAGCGTCGCGCCACGAGAACTCAATTGTCATGCTAGATTTGACGGGGTAATCAAACATTGTTTTCTTCCTCACACCCTGAATCGATTATTTGATATCTTCGAAACAAATTTAAACAAACTCTCCTTCAATTGTGCGTTTCATGCATTGTAAGACTTTGAATATGAAGATCGCCGCCATCTCTCTTTGTTGCCATCGAGGGAACTTATTTTAAAACGTGCACGCTTTGCAAGAAAATATCTATCTTCTTTTTTTTTTTTAGAAACAAAATTTACCAAGGTACAGAAAATATCAAGAGTGCACGCAGAGGGATAAGCACACACATACACATCTTTAAATTTCTTCCCTCTTTAGGATTGTTCTTCGTTAAGATTAGATTGCAAAGTGCCTCTGTTCATAACTAATAGTCAGAGGAGGCTGTTAAAAAAATTGTCCTTGAGTGGTGATTGCTTCATTTATTTTTGATAAATAAGTATTAAAAAAAATAAACACAACCGAGCTGGTACACCTTGACCATACCGAGAGTTGCCCTTGTACTAAAGTGAAAAAAAAAAAAAAAAACAATGACAGGCAAAAATTCATATTTTGCTTCTTGCGAGCTGCGGTCATAACTGAGGAGGGGTGCAGATGTTGGTACTTAAGCAGAGTTTCTGCTCCGGCACCTAAAACATTACGATTAGACTTTGATCTGCGGGAAGTTTTTAACCACAGAGCCAAGACGAGGTGACTGACTTCAATATGTTTTAAACGTCCCGCTATCTTTCGTTTTCGCGGATAGAAACCATGTGGCTTTTGTAACTGAAGTTTCGTTGCTTTTCTGGCGAGGAGCGTTACGGAAACCTGCCGTTGAATGTTGAGTGCTTGCCGCTACGTATATGCGAAGAGCGTCTGATGAAGTGAGAACGCTGGATTCGTCAGAGGTAATTGGGGCACGGCCGATCATGCTTATAAACAGCAAGTAAAACAGGCATCCGTCAAAAAAAGAAGCGTTTGTGACATAATGTCAAGTCAAATGATTCTGACGGAGCATAAACATTTGACAACTTTTTACTTATGCAATGCGGTCCGAGACACACGCTGAGCTTTCGATAATTTCAAATTTGAGCTCAACCGCCAGAAATATGCGCGAGGTGCTGGAAAGCTATTACTTATCGCAGCCTCCTCCTTAAACCCCCCCCCCCCCCCCCCCCCCCCCCCTGGGCCTGCGCTTCTTCTTCGCGAGTTTTATTAGTATTTTACTTTCTTAAGCTCAGTGAGATAAAAATGCAGATTCTACACGCAATTGCTGCTGTGCATTATGATAGCTTCCTATTCTTTTGACACAAATAGGTATTAACTGTGAAGTCACAAAAAACGGGGAAAAGGGGGAGTTTCTCATTTATTGTGACGATTGAGTACGCAATGCTTTGAGGCGAACGTTACATCAAGGTAAAAACCAGAATCACAGCAAAGACACACCGTAAGAAGGTACGAACTCAGATTGCTCGTCGTTCTATTTGTTATCCATTCCTGGGCCTATGCTAATCTCTCTACGACATACCTCCTCGTCGTCACAAAATGAGCTTGAGCCACTCCGCGCTTTAGTATTGTCCGCTCAATTTTTCATAAACAAAACAGTAACAGGAGATATACATGTCTTGACATGATGTGGCATGCATGACCGGATCGCACTCGTCTTGAAGCTCTTCAGCAGTCTTTTGTTCTTTCCAACTGTCGCATCTTGGTGACTTAGTCAGCAAGGTGCGACCGTTGGAAAGAACAATCATGATGATAGTATATGAACGCGTGCCACAGCTCTGAGGTGTGGGGGTGACCCGGATGTGTCTAGAAAGCACCATCTTTGCAGCCAACGTTGTTCCATCACACCTTGTTTATTTCGTAGCGTGAGCTACACTGGCCGAGGTTGAGCAGTTTCGCGTGGCTGTCGAAGAGCCGTGCTGCGCAAGCGCGAGGAGCAGTGACGTCACATGGCGCACAGCTGGCGCGCCGGAGCCGCCGCCGCCGCGCGCTCCGCCGCCGCCGCGCGCTCCGCCACCGCCGCGCGCGCCTCGCCGGTCTGCGCATGCGCGAGGAGCAGTGAGGTCACACGGCGCACAGATGGCGCGCCGGAGAGGCCGCCGCCGCGCGCTGCGCCGCCGCCGCCGCGCCCGCCTCGCCGGTCTGCGCATTCTAGAGGAGTGACGTCATAGCCGCGGCAGGCGCACTGGCGCCGTCGCTTGCCCAGCTGTGCGCCTCAGTAGCGCAGTAGCCAAGTCTGACGCTGCACCGGAGCCGCTTGATAGCGTCTCTCACTTTGTGTGCATAAGCTCACGCTACATATATCCTGGCATAGCCGAGCTAAGCCACCGCAATTATTTGTTATTCTTAATATTATTATTATTATTATTATTATTATTATTATTATTATTATTATTATCATCATCGTCATCACCACCACCACCTTAGGTTACCTTTCGTGGTCACAAAGAACACGCAGACGGTCTCTACCGCAATTCGACGAGAAAAAAAAAACCGTCGCGTCCGAGAATTTATCTGGGCGCAATATGTATGCACTGTGGGCATCTAGCCAATTCAAAATAAGAGCAGAAAATATTGGGAGCTTCAAAGAAAGGAGAAATGCTTGCATGCTCCCATTCATGCATCGCGACTGTCAACTATGAGCATACTTTCGTGCCAACATTCTGTTCATCTCTTTGTTATGTTTTTTTTTCTTACGCACAAACAGACATCACGACTACGGAGTGAAAAAAGACCTAACCCAACAAACTCACAAATACTGCCACACAGAAAAGCTAAACAATTGCGAAGAGTTAGGGCCAAAGAACGCGAGTTTTCAGCATCTGCCGGTTGAATATTTTATTTTTATTCTTAATATTCTTATTATTATGAGGTTTCTAAAAAAAAACGTGGAAGACTAGTTCTCATACACACAAACAAATATACACGCACAACAGCCACACAAAAAATAACGAGTATCTTGCTACTCTCTTCTATACACTTTTGTAGAACCGCGTTGCGTGGTACTTTTGTAGGCTCGTTTTATTTTCTTGGTCCAAAATCACGCTATCTGTCTTTAATTCGCATCTACGCTCGTCCTGGCATTTGGTCCTTGTATGGAGTGAGAAATGGGGGAATCTGTTTCCATCGTCCCTTTCTGGCACTTTCTGTTTGCGTGCGGCCAGCGTGGAAGATCCTAAAGAAAAACAGACACAAAGCAGCATGGAAAAAGAAAGATCTGTAGAAAGGGTCAGCCAAAATAAATCGAAATAATAAAAAAAAAAAACGATCGTGCGCATAAATCTCCACGGGCAATGAGAGAGGCAGCTGCCCGCGTTATGATAAAATGCTCGGGCCAAGAAAAATGGGATAGGAAATGGAGGTCGAATGGAACGGCGGACGATATCAAGCGCAAAGAACGAAAAGTGTGATTAGGTTTCCCCTCGTCTGCGCGGTATACTACACGCATCTGCTCTGCCCCGCAATATGCGCGGGGGTAGGAAGCTTTGGGATAGTTAAAAAAGCGACGCGGCTTTCGCCGTCAGATGGACGATCTGGGGTCTCCTGACTTGATTCGAAAATATTTTGCTCTACCCTTTCATGAGTAGCGAGTAATGGGCACACGGGCTGTTCATTGTGCAGTGCAGAATGGTGCCCTCTCAAAAAACTTTACGCACTAACATGCCTAGTTTGCAATGTGTAATGCTCTAAAAGTATACAATTCTTTTTTCTTTTTTTAGTTTTATAAACCACGTCGGGGAAAAGTATTCTTAGAGTTAATTTTTAGTTTATTAAAAGTATGTTGCAAGACATAACAATACGAGCTGGTCCGGCAGCGTTTAGGCCGGGGCGGTATAAATGCCATGCAGGGAGCCCTGGGCACACGTTAAGCTACGAAACCAAATAAGAGCTTGGAATGAACTGCTGTCGGTTTCACAGCTTAGCGTGCTGAAGCTCCCCCCCCCCCCCCCCCCCCATATGGCACTTGGCCCCTTTCTACTAGAACTCAACTTGGTAAGTTCATATTGCCGCTCACTGTACACCTTAATTGCTAGTATGGGTCAGAGTTCCGATCGCGCTGCCAAACCACGAAGTACGCTAAACGTATATATAGGGGCATCTTTCAAGTATTGTCAATGTCCCCGAGTACAATAAAATAATGTTTAGTCCAATTTAGGTTCCATAAATGTACGAAATCAGTCTGCTTTTTACTTGTTGCTTTTGAACGCGAATAAGCTAATCCCTTACGAAGGAACAAATTGTGTTCGTGTTTTCTTCGGTTGATAGAGTTTCAGAGCCATTTTCGGGTTTTTCGGTGGGGCAGGGAATCCTGTCGACAAAAGAGGCTCGAGGTCTGAGGAGCAGGCCTTTTATTAAAGTTATTTGAGTGTCCAGCCATGCAAACTCAAGAATAGGCTCAAATGTGTTTATATATATATGTGTGTGTGTGTGTGTGCGTGTGCGTGTGACTCGGTCATTCACCGCCTCGTCACTTGTCATCCGTGACAATATATATATATATATATATATATACATGTGTGTGTGTGTGTGTGTGTTGACGCACACACACACACACACACACCTAACCTGTACAAGAAATTCCTTACGATGTGCTCAGCCTACATAATTTTTCCCAAAAGCGAGGCCGGTGTAAAATGAAATGTGAAAAGATGCAAAGCACACCAGCGCGCAAAATTGTTCCATCCTCCTTTTTTTTCTACATTTTGTTTCTTAAGTTTGCGTGGTTTACACTGTTGCTTGTGATTCAAAAAACGCATATTTAACGCATATGATTCAAAAACGCATATTTAACCATCCATTTTCGATGATAGAAAGCGGTAAGAAACGAGAGCGTTCATCACATCCACTTTGTTGATGCACTATCGTAAAAAAAAGTAGCATAAAAGCGGGGTCACACTGCTTACACATCACACAAAAGACAGTCGGCATAGAGATTCGAACGCGAGTCACCGCGAGGTTAGTACTTCGAATGTCGCGTGGCAATGAGTTCAAGGAGAAACCTTGGCACGCGGCATTCGAACCACGGACATTGGGGCGTCTCGTGTTTGCAGACTGTCTTTTGTATGATATATGAGCAGTGTGACCCCGGCTTTAGAAGTCTTCGCCTCATAAAGACAGCATGCGTGCCGTTGAAGTCGCAGATATCAGGCGCTCGTTCGTATAAAATACGGTCTCAATTTCACTCGGTCAGTTGTCATGTTATAGAGCTTTTTGCTCCTTTAGTTATAAACATTCTGTATATGTTTCAGTTCAACACCTTTTTAGGCTTCTAACTACGACGAAATTAACCTCAAAACCGCTGTTTCTTGTCACCTTATTTAATAGTGCGTTTAATACCTGTTATGCAGAGTAAAATAATATTTGTTGCATGAATTAGCACAACCACAGCTGCAGGAGATAAGACACATAATAGGCCCGTGGTCGTTAACTCCTTCACCCTGCAGCATAACCATGACGAAATAATTTCAGCTCAGCAAGACAAAGTCCATTAAAGTTATTGAAGCTAAATTATTCGATTATAGTTTTCTATTTTTTTATGCCTGTTAATTTGACCTGCGTCAAATATTCGTTTGTTTGGTTCTGTGCAGGCTGGGACATGGGATGCAACACGTGGCATCCACTACCGCCAAAACTACAGCTCTCTTTACCAGGAGGTTGCCCTGTCGCTACGGAACAAGACATTCCGCGTTACCACCATTCTCGTGAGTACCTTTGACCGATTGAATTGTATGCCAAAACTACACAAACTTCTTTCTTTTCTTTTTTTGCAATTCTGTGATTGATGCTGTCTGGGATGGCGAGGAATGAAACGGTTTAGTAGCAGCTCTGCAAGCCCATGAAATTCTACTTGGATCTGGTTATTGGCGGCGATCAAGTCGCCTCCGTGACTCTGAGGCAGAGCGCTGGCGTACAGATTCCCATTTGGCGGGTCCGAATCCCGACCGAGGTGTCCCGTAATCTGACGAAGGCTTATTGCGCAGAAGGCTCCAAGTCACTGAGATCTTGGTTGTGCGTCAAAAGATCCCCGGGTAGTCTAAACTAATCCTCAGTTCTTCTCTGGTGCGTGGCAGACGCCTCCTGTTTGTTCGACACGTAAAACACCCAAATTTGACTACTGGTGGCGATATTTAACTGCCGGAGGCACATTATTCTGCTTATTTTCTACACATCTTTTTGTTGGTGTTGAAGGTAGCAAGCATTGGATATGTTTCATGTAGAAAAAATTCTGTGGACACCTAAGCACTTCTTACGTGTTGTGAATGCGATAGCAATGATAGCATAAATGTGCAGTTGAACGCCGATAAGCACTCCTTGGAGCCCTAGTCAACGAGAGGGGCAGAAGCGGCCGCAGCGCCCTTACTTGAGTATGGGGCGCGACATGGGCAGAAAGCAGAGCGTAGAACACGTGATACAGCGTCGTCGTCCCCCCCTCCGGGCCTCCAGAATGGCCGCGCTAGCGCCACCCTCTCACTCTTACCGGCGTTGGGTGGGCTTCTCTGTAGGGTGGCGTTCCTTGGAACGGCGCGTCGCAGCCATCTTAAAAGCCATTCCGCCGAGGAAATTTCTCTGTTGTTTTTTCGCGGATCCGGCTCAGAGGGAATTTCTTTGCCGTTCTTTGCGGTTATGGACAACGTCGGCACTACTCCATGAGACAGTTAATGCTTTCGCATTTACAAAAAAATAAAAAGGAGACATCACTTTGAACGGTCAGATACGAGTGTTAAGCTCAGAACTGCGTTTGTGAATGCACTAGGTCTTCCTCGTCGAAACAATTCGTACGGTTCTCGGGCTTGAAATCCTCACATCTCTCTTCTATGTACGAGAACGAGAGAGTAGGTAATGTGCGGTATCTCTCACAGCTGACACGGTGTGCTAAAGACGCGGGCGTCCGATGCCATAGTCGGTATGTTTGAGTTAGCCTAGCTCTATTGCCGATCCAAAACATTAATAATGTTGACGTTTTCTGTACATCCAGCCATCGGTAAGTTAATCAGCCCTAAGTAGCGTGCGGGTGGTACCGCTGTAGGTGAGAAATGTATCCACTGCCCTACGACTGTTTTAACCCACGATCTTTCACGTGCACCACACAGATACACGCGTTCGCATGCCGGACGCGTGTATCACTCGTTTGACTTTACTGGGAGGCCGCAGGCGGGAGAACCATGGCGACGGAGTTAGCGCACGTGTCGTGAGCTTCTTACCGCTACGGCACGGAACACATATGCCTCGGCTTCGAACGGAGCGTGCTCCCGCTCGATTCCTGAAGCACGAACGGACGTAGTGGGTGAGCCGTACTGCGAAAGCGCGGGGAACGCTGCCCATTGCTCATCCGAGCCGGAAATGAGGCAGAGAAACCAAAATTAGATTCTACGAAAGTCCGAGCTTGAGGGAGTTAAAGCCTAACTACTACAACGGAGCTTTTTTTTTTATCTTTTTAAATTGTTACCGGCTTGCTTCGAGACGCTGAAGTGCCCGTCTTTGATGTCGCTTTTGCTCGCCGGCCCCCCTCTAAAAATTACTCGCTTCGCTTCGTTCAAAAGAGGGTAAGTGTGCGAGGGTGCGTGATTCAGTTTTCGCAATCCTCTGTCTCGCCGTTCGGCCATTCCGTAACCTAATTTTCGGGAAGCTGCCGACGAGCTAATCCCAAGGCGCTTATTAAATCGAGACCCCTGTTTTCCTTTTATTCATTCCACCCCGATTAATCTTATAAGCGAGGAGCCTAACTTTAATGCATGTTGATAAAGTGGCTGTCAGGCCGTCTCTCGTTTGCTTCTGATCTAATTTTTGTCCTACCAGTTTTATGGCATTTTTATCTTCGTCATACACGGCGAATTGAACCCGTACGCCGTGTTTGTTCGAGGACAAAAATATATCTAGGTCGCTTATTTCGCAACGCACGCCTGGCAAAGCTTTGGACACATCGAGCGGGCTCGACGTAGCTTGGTATGCTTTGATAGATCCAGATGCCGTCCGGCAACCTACATTATGGAGGTGTAATTAGCCCCAGACGATGGGACGCCGAAAAGTAACAACGGCCATTAGCGAATTCGTCGTCGTTAAAGGGAGCGTTCGGATGATCGTGTATACAACGGTAAACTCAGCCTGATCACCCGAGCTCCACGGACATTTTTGTTTTATGTTTTCGTTCATCCTGACGACTTGTACCTCAATGGTGTAGGGATCAATTCATTCCCCCAGTATTGTACGAAACGGCGTTTTAAGATATGGCGTTCCTCGAACGCGTTCCTTTTAGGAGGAGCGGAGGAGCGCCACGTTTCATCTTGCATCGGTGGAGATAGGCCGAAAGTCAGTACGGTTTTCGCGAAAAGAAGAAAAAACAAAAAAAAACGTTTATTTATTTATTTTTTTGCATTTTTTGTGCGTGTGTGTGTGTTTTTTTTTATTTTTTATTTACAAGGTTTTAGCTTTTCCTTTCTTTTTTTTTTTTTTTTTTCATTATCAGCTATTTTAACCTCCGACTTGGAGATATGGAGAAGACTCCAAGATATGATCGAAAACAAAGGACTGGAACAAATGCGATCGTGGCGACTCGACACCTAGTTCGATCTGGATAATTTTATTTGTTTGCTGTACTTTATCTACGAATTCTCCAGCGCAAAAGTTCATTGCAAACGCACTGTCAATGTAACGACACGTAGTTCGATCTTAGAAATGTAACGGGAACGCGTTCCTTTCAAACCACTGGAATCTGTAAAGGTTCCCGTTCCAAGATTGAGACAGAAAAGGAACGAGATTTCGTTCCCGTTTTGGGGGAACGTATACAACGCTGCATTTATCTTTCGTGTGGTTTATGTTTTCCAGGGCGTGTTAAAATAAAATGACTACAGTGCTCGACAAATGAAGTTATACTACGTTCAGAAGATTACAAGCACGAGGCTCAAAGTTTTTTGTGGATTCTAGGTCGCTACTGGTGTTTTCAATGATACGACAACGCTTTGTGTATGCCCTTTGTCAGCCTTGTTTCTCTTCTCCAGGGATTATTTTCGTCATTATTGTCCCCCTCGCTTGCACCTTTGCATTTAATTGCATTATCGTCACAGCGCTTGAGACTTTTCTTTAATTCTATTTTATATTTATAGTACGAGCATTACAGTTTAAAGATAGGCTTAAGCTGTTATATGAGTTGTCTTGTACTTCAAGAGAGGCTTAAGCGGTTATATGACTTGTCTCTTCGTGGGTTTACTGGTACAATATACGAGAGTGATAGGGGAATACAATGATATTCCGGATGATGATTTGTTGCTCCTGTGTGTTAGTTTGACGTTTGATGTAAGCCAAGTATTGGGAATCCAAATCTTACGCTAGTCCTCAATCAACAAGCCTTAAAGTTCAAGCGGGTGCTTCAAATAAACGTGCTGGAACCCACCGGCACCGTAGCCTTACAACAACTTCGCACGACGAGATGTAGCCCATCTAAAACAAATAATAATAGCTAGCTGTACATACCGATGGATATGCAGAGAAACGAACCTCCATTTTAGTGAGTGAAACGACCAAAATGTAGGTTAATTTCGCAGCGAACGGAAGCCGCTGATGTCAGCGTTACGCGGAGCAGGAATCTCAACAGGACCGTATATATTCCGGATGGGTTCGCAAACGTGTGTCGTGTTTAGGGCATTGCTTGAAATTGCTCACGGCATCCACGGTACCCGTTTGGATGACCGACTGCTCCCAATGACATCGTCACAAGGAAACATAAACTCCTGTGAGTTACCGTTGAATTAAGCTATTCGTTTCTGCGAACTTCTAAATTCGAGAAATTATTGCTAGAGCTCGACAATTTGCAGGACGTCATTCCTTTCTTTATTGCGAAACGGTATTCACCATTCCATCTATTCTCTTCTCCTTCTCCACTGCACTCTCTTCCGATACCCCTTCTTCCTCGAGACGAGGCATGTTCGTCCAAGAGGCAGAACCTTCGTTTCCTCCTTTTCTTCCTTTCCAGCAATACATTATCTGTAATTTTGTATTTACTCGAGTAACAGCCGCGCTGTTTATGAACAAAGCCTGTGGGTCTGCTTTCCCGCGAAGCGCGGCATAGCGAATCATAGCGACCGGCAGAAAAATGGCAGCGATTTACGGGACAGAGATAACGTCATCATATGAAAATACTATCTGCTCAGATCGGATTTTTATGGAGAATTGCGTTCTCAACCTCGTTATTCGCTGCGTTTTTTTATGTAGAGTGCGATGACTGACTGTATGTGTGTTCTGCAGGAAAGCAGACGCAATACGATATGGCCCAATACGAATGTAAAGTCGTAAAATGTTCAAGGGAAAGAGAGTACGAGCACTTTCTTTAAAACTGCAACTATCCGCGCGTTACGCGCAGCATCACTTTAATGCAAGGAATGTGTTTGTTTAAAGGGAAACTAAGAGGTTCTTGAAAAAGGCGAGTCAGACGTAAAGTCTAGACTATTTTTATCCCGTGAATCTCAATATCACGTTCGTTTTTCGCGAAGATGTAACTAAACGCGAGAAAACACGAAAACCCTCCGACCAGTCGCTGGGTCATACGCAGAGCTTTCGGCCGCCAATCGCGTGTCGCTCGTGTGGACAGCGCGTGCAATTGCAGGCTTGCCAGGTACATTCCCCCCCACTGACACCAGTCGTGACGTCTTTTTCGGACATTTTTTTAGAATAGCGAGAGTACGCGTGCATAGCTTTGATGGGCGCTGAAGATGCGCGAGAGCAGGGATTCCGAAAACTTTGTATATCATATATGACGTCACGCTCCGTGAAAAAGCGGCTTCAACGGCACTTGAAAAAATATTTTCTGCATCCTTCGTGCACCAAATATAAAAGTAATCTTTATATTCGTGATCCTGGAGGCCAAATGAAGACGATTTATGTTTGTTTGTTTTTTCTCTCAAATGCAGGACGGCTTCAGTTTCCCTTTAAAGATTTTGTCATTGGCATCATTTCGTCACTGGTATCACTTCGTATATCCTCTCTGATGCGTCAGGCAAAATATTAAGCGCGCTATCAGTATGGTATCTCAAAAGATACTCATCGTCATTCCGCTTTTTAATCTTGGGAGACAGGCGAAACTGGACGTCAACTACAGTTCATGCGAAGAATTAGGGGACATCCTCTAAGTCCAGCCGTTCACCGCCCTTTTCCCCATAAGAAGTTTTGCCTACCGTAGCCTCCGCTTCAGGATAATCTTATGAGTCGCGACCCCAGTTTGCAAATCCCGCTCTCGCAAGCGATGCAAGGAACCAGAGATATAACTAAAACGTTGTGTCAACGCTTTTCACTAATACTTAAGTCTCTATTCACGTCAGCTTTGGTAGATCTTGATGGGACTATGAAATATTGCTCCCAGCATGACGAGAAAAATTAATAGAACACAGATAGAAACAAACGCCTATCCTCTTTGCCCTCGCTCTTTGCTGGCAGCTCATTATGTATGTAATATAAAAAAAAAACTTGTCAATTAGTCTCTAGAGGTTCTTGTCGGTGATGCGTCCTGTCGAAAGCAGCTGCGCCCTGTCGAAGCCAAGATACCAAGCTAGCTCATCGCTGTCACTCCCTGCATGTGTGTGCGTACATGCGTGCGTGCTAGCGTGAGTGCGTGCTTGAGTTTTATTCATACTTCACTCTATTATCCTACCTGCCATTTCTTTTATACCTTTCATTTTCCCTTTCCTTCTTTGTGTACTTTCTTTATTTCAATTCTGGAAGAAACAGTTCTGCAGCCATTGTGAAAGCATACATATACCTCACTTCTACGTCACCTCTAGCAAAAATTTCACCCTTACATCGAATAACGTTTTCCTCGCTTTTGACCACACTCAACTCCCTACCCCCCCTTTCAACCCGTCTCCCCATCCCCCAACCCCCACCCCAACCCCCACCCCATTCCCAAAAAATATTCTGATTTAGAAAGCCGAGGATCTTTCCACAAAAGATCACCCTATCTAGTAAAAATGTATGACTTAACGTGTAAATTGTCAAGGTGTAGGCGAGCTGGTGAATGTTTATCATAATGTTAAAAACCTGAGACTGGGAAGGAAAATTGAAAGAAAAAGTGTAGGAAGACACAGAAATAAGGAGACAGACAAGCGTCTGTCCCCTTATTTCTGCGTGTTCTTACACTGTTTCGTTCAATTTTCCTTTTCAGTCTCAGGTTTTTAATATTACTTTATAAGACTTATTTTCATTTACCCGTGTTTACTTAGAACACAAGCGATTCCCAGAAGGGGTAAAAATCGGTTTTAGGCTCCGCACACCAGCTCATGGTATATTCGGCTGGTCGCTCTCCAGCGCCCCACTCCTTTGAATCGGATCTGCGAGATCCGAGAGCGTCTCCAAATCCGAGTTGGAGGAACGGCGCAACAGCCGAATGCTTGACAACTTTTCCGAGCAGCCAGAACGCGACACGATGCCGGATACTGAGGGCAACTTCCGTGACTGCTCCACCGCGATGGCGCAAGTTACAGCCCGATGCAAAGGGTTTAGCCAATACCATTCATCCATTCATCCAGCACTCCTACACGTCAGACCACCAGCGCCACCACCGCGTGTCCGCATGCCCGCACGAAAAAAGGCAGCCTTCAATGCGGACAATGGTCTTCGCTGCGAATGTCCCCCGTCAAGCGCCGTGCACGTCCAGTACTCACTGTATTCAGCACAGCGGGATTGGTGCGGTGTCCAAACGCGGCGGCGTCAGACACTAAGCCTCTCAGTCGTATCGGCTTCTTTCTCTTTCAATTCATCAGCGGATGGGGCTGAAGTCACGAGACCGATTCTCTCGCGCGCGTTCCCACTTTGAAGTCAGAACGTTCCAGAGCGCTGCGAGTCGGAGGGTGGTGCGAACCGACGACTTCAAAGCGCTCTGACAGAACCCGGCGAATATACTTGGAGCACTCGACTTCCACCAGCTGAATGGGCCTCGGCTTTCAATAGCGCTCTGCAACGCTAGAAAGGGACCTGTCGAATATACCACTAAAGAATCTGTGTAGAGATGATATAAACACGACAGCGCGCGCTCTTAGGAAGTGAGTGCTTTCCATTGCTTAGCGATTTCTTCTGCGAAGCGATGTGTGAGGCTATGCTTTCTCCGCCGTGTCTTGGATAGCCCGAAACGTATATTATGAACCCTTTCAGAATTCACATGCCGATTGTTACATGCTATGAACATTCTTCAGAGCTGCAGAGTTACCAATGCTCCATACTATGTGAGTTTAAAATTGGATAAAAATGATGATGAAGCGGCCTTTATAGCTTTTCTTAAATTGCAAATTTACGGGATTTTTTTGTTGTTGCTATTATTGAGGGGCTGTAGAGCATCACTATTTAGTTCCACTAAGCATCGCCAAGAATTTTTATGTTGTTTTATGTTTCACTTCACACCATGGTCATAGTGAGGCTTCCACTTTTCTGGCACCATAGCGTTCTCATAATCCTATCACAGGCTTAGTATAGGTTTGTCATTGCCAGTTCTAGTGGCTCCGCGTTTAAATGGCACAGGAAAAGGCCAATGGTGACTCCATTCGGCGCGCGCTGAAAGCGTCTGTATCCGTTCCACGTGAACCCGGTGGTAACAAGTATGCCCTCCTTATTTTGAAACTTAATTTTCTAGCACGAGCCGCTTGTTGAGCGAAAGCTCGTTTCAAAGCCACGATCTGGTCCCTATAGGCTTGGCTGCCCTGTAAGCATATAAGTATGCGTAAATAGTATAGTAGTATGGGTAGCTTTCTCTGACAGTATGATGGGCTTTCGCTGTCTTTCCACCCTTTGCAGAGCGAGCCGTACGTGATGCTAAAAAGCGGCTCTAAGACCACTGCGTCGGAAGGCGATCGTCTGGAGGGCTTCTGCATCGACCTTCTTCGCGAGATGGCGCTGCTGCTGGGCTTCCGCTTCGAGATTCGCTTGGTGCGTGACAGCGCGTACGGGGTCAGCAACGAGCACGGCGAGTGGAACGGACTCGTCCGAGAAGTGATGGACAGGGTAAGTAGTCGGAAAACTCGGTTGCAATCAATTCCTATGGCATAAAAAACAAACAAAAAAAAAACAAGCGAAAGTGAAGGTGGCCCCCGGAGCGTTGCCGCTGGCTATACCGCGGCCTCTGAATGGTTCCTGGGCCGCGCTGAAGGTCATACTTCAAAGTCACAGCAGGCGCTTACGGTGGCAGTGCCGTTTCGTACGGCAACGCTATGCTAAAACTGCCTACACTCTCAGAAATAGGGGGTGCAGTACTTAGACCCCACGTGCCATATATAACACCCAAACACTACATTCCCACGTTCAAGCCGCTGACGTCGAACTGACGATACCAACTTTCACGAGCGGCTTGATAGCTGTGTGGCACAACTTACTAAATAGGGCATGCACACTCTCCGGCAATATGAAAGACCCACTGGGAGCGCGTGGCAGAGGCGGTCGCTGAGGGGGGCGCTGCTCGCGCTTTGCGCGATTCCATGTCGCTCGGAGGGGAGGCCTCGCTCGGTGCTGCCCCTCCGAGTGAGAGTGTGCGGAGCAACGCCATCGTGAGCTTGGAAACGTCTAGCGCTCATTTCAGCGCGACACTTAAAGGGCAGTTTCTCCAGGAACTGCGGTATATTTAAACAGCAAAATAAAAAAATAGCTTTTTTTGCGTCGATTTTATCTACCGTCCTCCCTTAATGGTAGAATTTCATACTGAAAATATACGTATTTTCCGTATTTACATACTGTTCAGTCCTTCCCCCAAAGCGCAATCGGTCTCGGGGAGGAGACAACAGGACATCGCAGACGACAGTCACATTGGCCAGATCAGCATTACAAAATGATTATTCGCACGTCGATCGATTGCACGGTAATCCCTCAAGCGGTTTTAACCTCTTTAATGCAAAGCGGAATGTCAACCTGCGAAACCCCGCCCCCTCCGATCACGGCGCGACGAGCAGCATCAATGCCCGACAGTTTACGTCATCGCATCTAGTTACACCACTGATACGCGAACACACGGTCACTACGGCGATAATTACAGTCTTCTGTTCACAACGAACAATACTGCCATCGCGATGTTGCTGCTTTGTTGGTGACACGCAGAAATACAGAACCACATTGGTTGCCGGTTGGAACTCGGCATTGGAAAACAGAACCGAACCCAGCACAGATGGCACCCAGGCACCCCGCAGCAAAACCTGCCTGTCTGGGACGCAATTTCCGCAGTTTCCGTAACCTCGTTAACGTCGAAAGGTCGAAACGTGGTTCCGCAATCTGGAGGCGGCCATCTTAGCCCAGTGTACGTATCGCTGCTAGTGCTGCTCCGGACGTTCGCTGTTTATAACAGCTTCGTTTGCTTGTTTGATAAAATTAGTGGTAAAAACGTCATTGCAACCAAAATGTTCCGCACGTTTGGACTGGGAGACGGAACTACAGGAGGCCTTCGCTGCCCCTGAAGCTCAGTCAACTCAACAACATGTATTTAACAACGCGCGCGACGTGCTCGAAAAACGAAACCGAAAGAAGATGAGGCGGGAGGGCGGAAACTTTCTCCCGTCTGCCTGGGGCCCTAAACATGTCAAACACAAAGTTTGAGCAGAAAGTTCGCGGAGCACGCCGATTGGACGTCGGCGACAAAAGGGGGAAGTCATTGTCGTGATTGTCCAATCGGTGCGCTCCGTCACCTTCGGCCCCAACTTTGTGTCTGGCGAGTTTAGACTAGGCCCTGGAGAAAGAGAAGAACGTTTCGTTCCTCCATTCTTCTCGTGTCCGCTTGGGGGCGCGTCAGTAGAAGGGAGGAAGACGCGCCGTTGCTACCTTTTCCCTCCTTTTTCCTTAAAGTGAAGCGTTGGAATCGGCCCTTGTGCTTCTTTCGCATAACGGGAAGCATCATTCCGGTACATCTGAGGATCTAAAGCCGGGGTCACACTGCTCGTACATCAGACGAAAGACGCGGTGTTTGCTACCGACATGATGGCAGAAGTGTATGCAGACGCGCCTAAGCCACGTTTTAATCATGTTTACATTATACACATCCCTGCAGACAGTGTTCGTATGGCCAATCCGACAAGACCGTCATACAAAAAAGAGACGCACATAAGGCAGCGTCTGGAGATCATCTTTTGTACCATGTACTACATTCTAAAAAAAAAAAAAGATCCGTTCTTGAAAGGTTCTTCGACGCCCCAAGACTTTTTTGAGCTCGTCAAGAACGGTGTTATCTCGAGAGCTACCGTTCCCTGCTCGCACTTTAGAAAGGCAACTGGGCGATGAAGAACTCTTTCCGATCAAAAAAGTGAGCTCAGAAGGATACCTTATAGGCTTTTCGCGAAGAGCCCTTTTAGAAAGTGCTTAAAAGCCGACGTACAACCACGGTTTTCCGCGGGGATGATAATCCTTTTAGCGCTTTCTTCTCAAGTGGATATAAAGAAGGAGGGGGCGGGAAAAAGTAGAGAGCGCGAGCTGTACGTCGACCTTTAGAATAACTTTTTAGAATGCAAAACATGTACAAGCCAAAGAATCTCTAAGAGTTCTTTTACGACCAGATTTTTGTTAGAGTATAGAAATGACCCCCGCTTAGACATCTTATCGTTGACGCGCGAGCCAAGAGGAAGTGTAGCGTCATTCACATTTCAGAGTATTCTTATGTTGTCACAATATATATATATATGGGTGATTTCATCTCAAATCGGGCAGGCTAAAAGTGTCTAATTTTTAATTTTCACGAAAAAAATATATGTTTTGGGGGTATTTCTCAAATGAAGGAGGGCGCAAACCGCATGTTCTCCCGATTTTTTGTTCTCGAGTTACGAGCCGTAGAAGCCGCAGTGGCAGAAACTAGTGTTTTTGCCTGCCGTCGCAGGTCGCGTGTTTGACAACCTCTGCTGACGCTATTGTTTTCTCTACACCCTTTTAGTTTTCCCTTCTAATTTAATAGCTATTATAAAGATACCTTGATGTATTCAAATATTTTTAGAAATTTGATTGTTTTCTAAGACACATGTCAAACTCGTCACTCCGGTCGCTTTTCGGTCAAATTCGACAGGTCATTACTTTGACTGTACTTAAGGTGAATTTTTTTTCTTTGGCTCTACAGAAAGCCCAAAGCAAGCCCATTATAGATATAATAATATCATAATGATCTGTCGACTAGCCGCTCCGCTACCTTCACGTAAACGTTGTAAGAAATAACAAATGTTGAAAGTTTGAGGTCGATTTTCTCAAAAACCCCATTTTTGTAAATTTTTATTTTTTAAATTCTTTTAGACATATTAGCCGACTACAAGAAAAAACAGTCTAGAAATGTAATATTTTGGTTGTATGTTCTCTGTTTGAGCCGCAATCGCGTGAAATGTGTGAACATTTGTTATTTTTCACAACGTTTACGTGAAGGTAGCGGAGCGGCTAGTTGGCAGATCATAATGATATTATTATATCTATAATGGGCTTGATTTGGGCTTTCTGTAGAGCCAAAGAAAGAAAATTTACCTTTAGTACAGACAAAGTAATGTCATGTTAAATTTAACCGAAAAGCGACCGGAGTGACGAGTTTGACCTGTGTTTTAGAGAAGAATCAAATTTCTAAAAATATTTGAATACATCAAGGTATTTTTATAATACCTATTAAATGATGGGGAAAGGTTAGAAGGGTGTATAGAATACAATAACGTCAGCAGAGGGTGTCAAACACGCGACCTGCGACGACAGGCAAAAACACTAGTTTCTGCCACTGCGGTATCTACGGCTCGTAACTCGAGAACGAAAACTCGGGAGAACATGCGGTTTGCGCCCTCCCTCATTTGAGAAACACCCCCAAAACATAGATTTTTTTCGTGAAAATTAAAAATTAGACCCTTTTAGCCTGCCCGATTTGAGATGAAATCACCCATATATATATATATATATATATTGTCTCGGGTGACAAGTGACGAGGCGGTAAATGACCGAGTAAACTGAAAGTTTAATGGGGCGAACTTGTGCCCGAAAATAAAAGGAAAAAGAATTAATAATAACAGAGCGTCGCGGGCGTCGAAGGCGGCGAAGCAGCACGATCGAACGCTGAGGCGAAAACTGATTCGACAAGGTCGCGGGCGGCCTCTTATCTAGAGTACGTCGCTATCTCGAAGATTCGGCGAAAGCGGCTCGAGCGTCCCGTGATCGGGGCGAGAATGAACACGCACTTTCTAGAAAACAAAAGCAGGAATACATGATAGAAGTTACGTGCGGTACATGAATAAACGAGAACTTTCTGGAGGTCCGTGACCGAGCGTTGCTTTCTCAGCCCTGCACGCGGCATTATCCCCCCCCTTTAAAAGTGCATCGTCCCGATGCAGCACAAAAACGGAAAACAAAAAACAAAAGTACAGCAGAATTGCTAGCCGGAGTTCACAGTCCACTGTTCACTCGTCGACGAGAGTGGAGAGTCCTATCGTTCGTAATACGGCTTCAGCCGGACGACATGCCCCACCTCAAGTCGCGGCTGACGTCTTGCAGATGGGCGCGTTCCGTCGGGTAGAACTTCGTAGTTCAGATCGCCGAGGCGTCGGATGATCTTGTAGGGCCCAAAATAGCGCTTGAGGAGTTTTTCGCTGAGACCGTGACGACGAATCGGCGTCCACACCCAAACTCTGTCTCCGGGCTGGAAGTGGACGTCGCGGCGACGAAGATTATACCGGCGAGCGTCGACATGTTGCTGGTCTTGAATTCGTAGTCTGGCTAGCTGGCGGACCTCTTCTGCCCGTTGAGCAACCACCTGGGCGTCATCGCTCCCGTCGTCGACTGTCTCGTGCGGCAACATAGAGTCTAGCATAGTCGTCACCGCCCGGCCATACACCAGCTGGAAGGGCGTCACTCCTGTGGTCTCTTGCACTGCTGTGTTGTAGGCGAACGTGACGTAGGGCAGCACTTCGTCCCAGGTCTTGTGCTCCACGTCGACGTACATAGAGACCATGTCGGCGATTGTTTTGCTGAGCTGCTCCGTCAACCCGTTGGTCTGCGGATGGTATGCCGTTGTTCGACGG